TCAGCCAAATGTTATACGTTTCCAGTATATTCATTTGGTAATTCAAATATTAAAAAAATAGCTTTATGTGAAAAGAAAACTTGAAGCATTTTGTAAAATAGTTATTTTAAAAGCATTGTGTATGTAAACTTCTTCTGCATATATTTTCTTGATATTTTACTTCTTCATGTAGATATTTCAAGAATTAAACCTGTTCTTTCCGACAAGGAATTGTGGTGTTTCTGGCGACAATGACACAGAAATTTCCCTCTGCGTCCTCTACCCCTATAGAAAGTGGTGTAACATCCAACAGCAATAGCGAATGACACTCCTTCTAAAAATAGACAATTATTTAATAAAAGTAACATGATACAAAGTATGCGACTTAAAAGCTTAAAAGAAATTCGAAGTTAAATTGAAAAACTGAGATATTCCTATTAAAAGTGTCAAGATGCATGAGGCGCACACATGTTGACATGATGACATGTTTGTAAAACATAAACAAAACAATCCATTGACTAAAAAGTCTCACCATTGCCATAGGCTCTCTGGAGAAAAACTTTTCACTAGGCCTCATCAGCAGCTCTTCTTGTGGAGATTCCTCCAGTAACATGTCAGCTTCTCTGAATGAGCTGATAATCTCTTTTGTCTGCTTTTTTTTCTTAAGTTTATAACTACATGTTCTCAGTTGCAATTTTTCCTGTTCTTTTCTCTCCGGACCTCTTAAAAAGCTCTGACGCAGTTTTTCTTTTGGCAAATCTAATGTCACTTCCATTTTTTGTTCTTTGCTTTCTCTCTCTAAATTTGATTTCACACCCATAGCTATTGAAATATTGTTAATACAAAATTAAAATGTAGTATGTTTCATAAACTTTTAACTTTCTTGTCAACCAAATGTATAAAGACTTCAAAGAATTTTTCCTTATGAATATTAAAATTCAGCAAGAATTTCAATAGCTCAAAGAATCTAACAACAAAAACTTACACATAATTCATATCTATGACTAGTTTGAACATTTCTTGAATGTACATTTTAATCAATATGAATGAGTGATAATTATTGGAGACAGTATGATAAAATTTGAAAAAACAATTATAAAATAATCATATTGATTAATTTTTAATTTTTAATGGCTTTAACCATTTCAACAATGAGTATGTTACATTTATGCCTGATCAATATAAAGAGAAGAATATAAAATCGTTTTGAAACTTACTTCTCCATGACACCTGCTGGGCCAGAGGGGGTGGCGGTGGTGGTCTCCCTTCTGATGGTGCTGCCACATGGGGTGGAGGGGGTGGTGGTAGTGGCCCTGCAGATGGTGCTGCCATAGAGGTTGGACGGGGTGGTGGTGGTTTCCCTGCAGATCGTGCTGCCATAGGGGGTGGTGGTGGTTTCCCTGCAGATCGTGCTGCCATAGGGCATGGAGTGGGAGCCCCTGCAGGTGGTGCTGCCATAGCAGGTGGAGGTGGTGGGGTACCCAAACTTGCTCCAAGTTTTGATGGCCGCAAAATCGGTTTACTTGATGTAGGAGGGGATGGAGGAACAACATTTCCGTGTGTTTTCTTTGATGGTCGTGGTTGAAATACTGCAGCAGGAGATGCTCCCAAAGCTTGCAATCCACCTCCAAATCCTCCAAACATTTGTTGTTGTGGCACTTGGGGTTGATTGACTGGACCTCCAAATACACTGTTTAAAGACATTTGTTGTGTCGGTCCCCCAAATGGTTGTCCAAAACTAAACCCAGAAGTTTCATTTTTTCCAGAATCTAATGCGGATTGATTTGCAGAGTTTACAATGGATGGTACGGGTGCCCCAAAGGCAGCAGAAGACCCAAAATATTGCGTACTTCCAAATAGACTGCTTGCTGATGGTGGAGGCGGAGCTCTAACTGATGGTGGAAGTGACCCAAAGCCTATCCCACTTTGTTGTTCTAATTGATTTCCAAAAGGCGCGGATTCTTTAGAAAAGGATAGTACATGTACATGCTGTGGTGGTGCAGGAACAGGTTTGTCTTTCATTTCTTGTCTTTCCCTGATGTATCCACTACTCTGTAAATTAAAATTTTTCTTTCGAAAAAGATCAACAATTTTCAGAACTTACAAGAAATGTAAACCATTTCTAAAGTTAAACTTTTGAAAAATGCTTGACGATACTTTGGATAAATAAAATATCATGCTGGCATTACTCTCGCTTAATTTTCCTTGGCATATATCAAATTTTCTATATATTTTTGTTTGGCTGTATATTGTTTTTAACATCCTTCTCAAAAATGTTTCACTCAAATGGAGACAGCACCACTTGCCAGTGAAGAGCTGCAAATTTTGTCCTATATCAAGGCTAATGAGCAGGGATTGTGCCAGCACCTACTGCGACACAAGACCTTGGTTTATAGGATCTAATTTGAAGGACTGTCCCACAGTGGAATCTTAACCCATGACATAAGAATCAACTCCTTACTTTGTGACTCTAGAGCAGACGCTCTTACCACAGTGCCACATGGGCGACTTTCCTATATAATGTATTTTTTGCTAAAGAATATTATAACGTATGAGTAGAATTTTTAGCTAGGATTTATTTTTGGCATTATTAGCAAATCCCACTGTGGGAATTAAGTGGAGATGTGTAATTTGGTTGAGACCTTATAACAGGAGACCCATGGGCCTTATAGGTCACCTAAGCATTATGCAACAACTTTCCAGTGATTTAATTTGATTCATGTTTTAAGCCAGATGCTATGGCATTCACAATTTTGAACGAGGCACCATTGATCATCATAACAATACACTTAGCAGATGCTTAGTTTGTTTACTTAATACCAATAGGCAGGGTAGGGAAACAAAAAATGCATTTCAAGTAATCAGTAATATTCAGCAATTATCAGTAATTCCCCAATCACACATGAACCCCTGACCCATAGACCTAGATCCACACATTGCACAATTTTTGAAAAGGCACCCTTGCTTTTCAAAAATATTTGATTAATACCAAGTAGCAGATCTAAAACAATTCATCCAGTTTCAGTGTATAAGCACACCCCCCTATGGTACCCCTGACCTTGGGGCCTTGAAATTCACAATTCTGGAAGATCAGGGCCCTTGCTCATCATAATTATATAGGTAGTTCATCTGCTTAATACCCAAGAGCAGAGAAGAAAACTTTCAAAGATTTAATGTATTTTCACTATATAATCAATAGAGTCCCACCCTATCACTAGAACCCCTGACCCTAGGGCTATAAAATCAAAATTTTGGAAGAGGTATTCTTCCTCATCATAACTATGTACTTAGTTTATTTAATTCCTATGAGCAGAGGAGAAATTTTTGTAAAGAATTCATGTATTTTCACTATATAATCAATAGAGCCCCGCCCTAACACCCGAACCCCTGACCCAGGGGCCATAAAATTCACAATTTTGGTAGAGGCACTCTTGCGGATCATAACTGTGCACTTGGTTAGTTAATTTAATACCCAGGAGCAGAAAAGAAGATTTTCAAAGAATTCCTGTATTTTCACTATAAAATCTACAGAGCCCTGCCCTAACACCAGAACCCCTGACCCTGGGGTCATAAAATTTACAATTTTTGTAGAGGTACTCTTGCTCATCATAACTATGCACTTGAATAGTTTATTTAATACCCAGGAGCAGAGAAGAAGATTTTCAGAGAGTTCATGTAATTTCACTATATAATCTATAGAGCCCCATCCTAACACCAGAACCCCTGACCTAACCCTGGGGTCATAAAATTCACAATTTAGGTAGAGGTACTCTTGCTCATCATAACTATGCACTTATATAGTGTATTTAATATCCAGGAGCAGAAAAGAAGATTTTCATAGAATTCATGTATTTTCACTATATAATCAATAGAGGCCCACCCTAACACCAGAACCTTTGACCCTGGGGCAATAAAATTCACAATTTTGATAAAGGCACTTTTGCTCATCATAAATATGCACTTAGTTAGTTTATTTAACACCCAGGAGCAGAGAAGAAGATTTTCAAAGAATTCAAAAATTTTCACTACATAATCTATAGAGCCTCGCCCTAACACCAGAACCCCTGACCCTGGGGCCATAAAATTCACTATTTTGGTAGAGGCACTCTTGCTCATCATAACTGTGCACTTAGTTAATTTATTTAACACCCAGGAGCAGAGAAGAAGATTTTCAAAGAATTCATGAATTTTCACTGCATAATATATAGAGCCCCACCATAACACCAGAACCCCTGACCATGGGGCTATAAAATTCACAATTTTGGTAGAGGCACTCTTGCTCATCATAACTATGCACTTAGTTAGTTTATTTAACACCCAGGAGCAGAGAAGAAGATTTTCAAAGAATTCAAAAAATTTCACTACATAATCTATAGAGCCCCGCCCTAACACCAGAACCCCTGACCCTGGGGCCATAAAATTCACTATTTTGGTAGAGGCACCCTTGCTCATCATAACTGTGCACTTACTTAATTTATTTAACACCCAGCAGCAGAGAAGAAGATTTTCAAAGAATTCATGAATTTTCACTACATAATATATAGAGCCCCGCCCTAGCACTAGCTAGAACCCCTGACCCCGGGGCCATGAATTTCACAATTTGGGTAGAGGCCTCAATGCTAATTACAATCATGCAAACAGTTTGACTGCTTGATATCCAGGAGTAAAGAAGAGGATTTTTAAAGGTTGCATTAATTTTAGTGGTTTTTGTCCCATCCCCCAGGCCCAAGGGGGGCAGGGACCATGAAATTCACAATTTTTGTTCCCCTTCACCCATAGATGCTTTGTGCTAAATTTGGTTGAAATTTGTTTAGTGGTTGCAGAGTAGAAGCAGAAAATGTTCAAATGTTAACGCACGACGACGGACGAAAACAGATAGCAACAGGTCATCTGAGTTTACTCATGTGACCTAAAAACAGATCAGCAAAAACATACATTATGTAAACTATTTTACAGTAGATAAGAATTTGTCTTCAAAAATTAAATTATTTCAAAAATATCTTCCTGTCTAACAAGAACATGGAAATTTTTTGTAGAAGAATTGCGTGACTGACCTTAATGTTAATGCGGTCAATTTGCCTGTTTTGGGATTCTATCTCACTGCCCATGTCAATAGCCATGTTTCGTAGATTACCCAGCATGCCACTGACTTGTGTCAAGTTTTCCTCCATTTCATCCTCACGAGCATTCTAAGGAGGTGCAGTTAACAACAAATAAACAAACAAAATTGTACCATGTGAAAGTAGGACACAGTAATAAGTAACTTTTATGAAATGGGACTTCGTACTAACTCAGAGAGGCCAAAAAAAGTTAATCAATAGTTTCTCAGGCCAAAAAATTCAAAATTCAATGCGGCAGGCAGGCTTTCTTTTTTTTTAAAAGTTTTTACACCTTTTTAAAGTCATTTAACATAATGTTAATATCTACTAATTCGTAATTTATGTTCTCTGAAATTAGTTATACATGTAATAGGTATTCCACTTTAAATAATGTAATTCCAAACATTAATTTAAAAGTTAATTCATATAATATGTAAATGTGGAAGAATTGTATTGTTTTTCTAATAAAAACGTCTATCTATAA